GCCAAGGTTTGTGTGTGTGTGTGTCTGTGTGTGCATTCCCTCACTCATTTGTTTGCTTTGTCTCCCATCTTTCTCTAGAGACTCTTGTGGAAGTAGGCCTGTCGACTGGCTGCCAAACAAACCTGATTTAGCCATTTTTCTGCAGACAAACAATCACGTTTGGTCCAACAGCTGGTGAATGGTGGCTGGTGAAAAGCGGCTGAATGGCTTTGGTTTCAGAGGTCCTGAAGTGGTCTAGGTGGACAGCCTGCTTTAGATCTCAATTAGCCTCAATATACAACACAGTGTTCTCCGCCGGAGGGCTCGGCCACGATTTACATGCACATTTGAGCTTCACAAATGACAGAATTGTGTTACTGTTAGCTGTTGCTTCACTGCTGCTAACATCAAAAGCCAAGAGCAAGATGGTGCTTTGACTTTATAGTGTGTGTATGACTTCCTTCCACTTTATACCCTTTACATCCACCTATAAGAGACCAGAGAACATGTCATTTTAAGGCTTCGGGCCCATAAAGACTGGGCTGCGGTGCACATAGTTATCGTAAGGTTAAGTAATTATTCATGTAGAGATAGAAACAGACTTTTATTGAACCCCTACTTCTGAGAATTTACCGTTTGACATTCTGTTGCCCCAAAAAGTTATTAAAACCACCAAAGTCCCTGAAAATGCACATTTTCCTTCTGCTTGAAGAGATTTGGCTGAACTGCTGTTTTAGAAGCTGTTTGAGGCTGATGCAGAGAGCAAAGTATTTGGATGACTGGAGAAACAAAGACACAGATTAAACACATTTCTGTCAGTTATATGTGCACATTGTGAAACTCGGAGCTCATATTTAAAATAACAGTTATGACAGTCGTTTCTTTTTCTGAGATGTTTCTGTGATGAAATTCGCCAGTTCAGCCTCATCCATCAGCACACCACCCGGCCATCTATGGTTAGGCGTAGGACTTGGATTTGGTTAATTCATTGTTTCACCCCCAAAATAATCTGTTTAGTGTGACATTGTGTGTGTATAGCTCCAGGTTTGACTCAGTGTATACAGCATAAGTGGGCTGGTCCACTCAAATAGATTCTAATTGAAGGCAAACCTATTAGGACAGAACATGTCGGGCTGAGAGCACATCCTTTTTCTTGTTTCCTCTCTTGCCGCCTCATTATATGAGAATGAATAATGACAAACATATACATTAACCACTGCCATAATTGTGCTGGAATTAATGATTCTGAAAATAAACCTCTCTGAAAAGAGAGGAGGGAAGAATAAAAGAGAGAAAATAGGTCTTGAAGTGTGAGTGCGCATGTTTGTGTGAAAACGTGCACACTCATAATGAGAGTTCAGCGGCGCTAACTTGCTCTAAATAAATCCATCATTAGCATTTTCTCTTTAAACGGAATAATTTCAACTTTGATATTGGTAATTGTGCTTAAGGCCTTTAGCGCTCCTCCGCGAGCCCTCAAACACTCGCTCCTCAGCCCATGCAGAGACTATCAGAGTCGAGCTTTATTCACTTAGCACTCCATTCTGAAGCAGTAATAACGAGGCTCGCTCAGCACCGTTAGAATAAACCAAGGCAACACCCAAAGAGGGCGTGAATCCAAGTAGGTATAGTGCAATATATATGAAGGCAGAGCCACAGAACACATGTTCAATAACACTTTCAAACAGGCTCAGACAGCAAGAACAAAAGAGTCTGCTGTCTGCACACGCACACAGGAACACATTTCCAGTGCCACAGAGGGGCTTGTGGTTTGCATGTGGCAGTGGATAACCAATAGAGGGTGGTGTTGCATTGCTGGTCTGAGCTCAAAGGGTCATCGTGCTGAGCTGTGAGGGAGCGAGAGCGGAGCTCATCACTTCTAATCTGCTTTTCATCACCAACGAATGGATTTTAAAAAATGGAAAAAGCTGCTGTTAACACTGGATAGGTCAGCTGCTCTTTGATAAACTGGATGTTATAAATATGAAGTGCAGTTAATGTGTGTCTTTAGCATTGATCTGTCTCAAATCAACAATAAATAAATGTAGAATTTAACCTCTTGTAACATGTAGAAGTAGTTCAGGCTCAGGGTTAGGCTGCACAAGCACAACGTCAAAAGCTAGAAGATGTTAGAGACATGAACATTTCACTTTACAGTTCTCCACGTGGAGATTCAAAAGGTTTCTAAATTTAAAAAAGGAATATAAAGAGACCAAGCTAACGATCACCTAAACAGGTCACTGAGAAGTGAAATCTTTGTGTGATTGTTCTTTTTAAAGGCTTCATTGGAGCTTTTTACCAAATCTCATAGAATGAACTTTTCCAGATGGAAAAAAGTGTGTGCTTATTGTGCTTATAACTCCATGATAAAGAAACAGCATTTACTGGGCGTATCTAGCTTTAGTATAGAAGCTTCTGATTGGCTTCTCTCAGTGAGCTCTCCATGTTCGATCTCACATTGTTTCTCTCTGCTTTATCTGCCAGCCAGCATCTGAACAGATCAACATCAATATTAGCAGCGAACAGTTGTTGGCAAAGTGATCTTAAAACTCTAAAGGACATCTCCATGTCCCTCTAATTAAAATTTAACCACCCAACCGAGGTGATGGGCGATAGGAGGAGCGGTTGAGAGGATGGGGGTGGGGTGGGGGCTTATTTAGCATTAACATAAAAACAAACAGCCTCATATATATATGCAAATGAAGGAAGGGCAAAAGCAGGATGCCAGGAGCCATTCGCCATAACTCACACTGATGGCCTTTAAGTGAGAAATCGCTTTCCAAAAATGTCCAATAAGAAAGTGGAACGATGCACCTGTCGCCCATCTGACTAATGAGCCAATCAGGTTGCAAGGACAAGGAGGCACATCTAGATCGTGATGTTGGCCTGGAGTGTCACTTCATGCTGAAGGTGCTCATGATTCCAAAACAGTGAGTATTTCACTGCTTTTGATGATGACAAAAAATGGCCTAAAAAGTCAACACGGCTTCTTAAACCTGCAATTAGAGCAGATTTATTACTCGCAGGCTTTTCCGAGCAGAAACCTGAGAACCAAAGGCATCTCTGAAGTTTGTGTGCACGTGTGGACTGAATTTGAGCGACAATGCAGACGGCGTCTTCTTCTTTTCTGCTCCTACATGTACGAGGTGCTTAAAGCAGCTTTAAGCACACATCTTCATTTTAAAAAAAAAAGGCGCTGGCACCGAGTGGTGCCTTAAAACTGACAATGATTTACATTTCAACATAATGCTCTCTGTCGCCTGTTATTGTGACAAAGTGCTGCACGTATCCCTCCCAAATGAAAGTGGGTGTTCTGTTGTGTGTGCGACAAAGACATTTGGACAAACCTGCCATCTTCTTCTTTTTCTCGTAAATGAGCATGGGAAATCTATTTATGTCCTCCTACAGTATACTGGTGAAATAAGCAGAGGCTGGTTGGGAGACAGCCCGAGCCGCAGTCGAGATGAGCCCCGTGAAGATATATTTGAGAAAGAGAAGAAGAGGGACAGACGAGGGAAAAAGTCCAAATAGATGGGGAGAGGCATTCTCGCTGAAATATGTGGTACTGACAACACCTGGCCCGGGAACAAGCTACAGGCTACAGGCGAGGAGGGAGGAATAAAAAGAACCCCGAGGCCTTCGCCACGACCATTCCTACTGTGAGGCTTAGGAGAGACTGAGACCCAAGTTGGGGGGATGTGTTTGCAGGATGAAGGATTCTCAGCTGAATGGCCTCAGCTTTAAAACTACAACAATAATAATAACACTGATAGTTTTTGTCAGGTGGTGTTTCCTCAGGAAGACTGACACCGTTTACACACATTCACCTCCAGGTTTCTCCAAATTTTACTTGTTCCTCTTTTCGTATCCTCGTATCCTCTCCCACCGACGACGTGTGGAAATCACAGCCTACCTCTCTGTTTAACAGAGGGTGCTGCAGCAAACCGTTTATCTGTCATCAGCCTGGAAACTAAAACACACACACACACACACACACACACACACACACACACTTTTCATCTAACTGTATTTTTTAAAATAACAACAACAAGATAATAATCAGTTTCTATAAATTCTTCTCTAAATTATCAAATGACATCAAACTATTGTTCACTTGAAGTCCTCTTAAATCCTCACCATCATTGTTTCTTTCCTCCAGTTTGGCACTGAAGTCACCGTGAGGTCACAAACCTGCCCAATTTGTGAAAGTCTCGTTCTGAGCGCCTGAATTAAATCCCCACGTTCATATCGCTTACATAACTGATTAATGCTGTAATGCCATCAAACAGTTCCGACAGAATGAGGCGTGTATTTACAAACTAGAAGCTACCCACGCGGGTTATTATTAACTAATTTGGATGTGAATGAAAAACGCGTCAAACATGTGCGTGTGATCGATACGTTTGTGGGTAAATTTAGGCCACAGCGACGCACTGATCTGACTCCAAGTCGGAGTGAAATAAATGTGAAATGACATTTCAGGCGGTCTGCTGAGGAAGGGTGCGCATCAGAAAATATTTAAGGAGTACTTTTGTTTTTGCACACGTGCACGTTGAAAGGAGAGAAGAGCTGTACAGTTAGCAGGAAGGCCTCTGATGCGGTAAAAGTCACCTTATGCACTTGTCGCCAAATTTGGTCAAATAAAAATGTGAATTTAGGACAAGTGGATCCGACAAAGTGAAGTAGCGTAACGTTGAGACATTATGGAAGTGCGTGGATTTTAAATGTGAGCGCAAAGAGTCCAGCATCATGTGGACGGCCGGCACGGAAGCCCCTCGGGTCACTCTTTAACAGAAATAAATGCGGCAGTGAGGCTTTATTGGCGGAGATTACCTGAGCGACTCTGACCACTGCTGCCGTGCGCACCACAGACCCACGTGTGTGTGTGTGTGTGTGTGTGTGTGTGTGTGTGTGTGTGTGTGTGTGTGTGTGTGTGTGTGTGTGTGTGTGTGTGTGTGTGTGAAAGCTACCACTAGTCGCCCCCAGTGCTCTTCAGTCTCCACTTTCCCTTCTCACCGCAGACTGAACGTCACGTCCGCACTTGAACTTGAGTTTTCTCCCATCGTAGAAGCCAGAGAGCCACACAGAGCCGCTCAGAGCCGCACGCACAGTCCAGGGGATGCGGGACTCACAGAGAGCAAACACAGTGGCTTCGCTTTGACTCGAACAGTTAAAGTCTCACCCGCCCGGCCGCTGCTGTCAGTGCAGTAGAAGTGCCAGCCACTTGGCCACATTTCGAGAAGTGCCGGGAAGAAAACTGGATTCCTTTTTTACGCACTCCACCGCGCAGGAGCGGGCAGTGTCCGGCGTGGCCGGATAGTGGACACAGGTAGACACTGACCATCAGGAGGTGACCTCTCGCCCCCTTCCGTCTCTCCATCCTTCACTCTCCGCTCCTCTCTCGGCTCGCCGCTGACAGATGGTGTAAAAGCGACGGAGAGAACAGCGACCCCCTCCCTCACCTCAGATCGAAGAAAGGAGGCGCACAGACACATTGGCACCAAACTCCGCAAGAGCGCCCGGCGCTGCGCCACGGCCGGCCACCGCGGAACGCAGGAGCCACTGCCCGCTGAAGAGATCACCTCCAGGGCGAGATTCGGCCCAGCGTCTAGTGGTCAGCTCGGGGGGCCGACAAGCAGGCTGTTTGTGGGCGGATTGGTCGGTTATAGGAGCCGGAGCGGGAAGAGGAGGAGGAGAAGGAGAGCCGACCCTTCCAGCGCCGCTCTCCGGGCGATGCCAGTGTAAATGCCAGGGCGATGTCCCGACGCAAGCAGGGGAATCCGCAGCACCTGTCCCAGAGAGAAATAACGCGTAAGTGTTGACACGTTCAGTTTTTCACGCGTGACTGTGCAGAGGAGCTGATTTATTGAAGTACTTTTTCCAGGTGATAAAATGAATATTTTCAGAGCTGGAACAGAAAGTTTGCTTCCCCGAGGCCATCCTCTCCTCTGTCCCAGTTTACGGACAAAATCAGATAAACGCTTTATTTTGCGTTTATTTGATTTTTACTCTCTATAAATAATTACAGTGAATTTAGAGTAAAAAAACGTCCACGGCCGCGTCGGACTTTTACTGTAAAAATCGCTCGTGGAGAAATTGTACTTTTTTCAAACTTTATTCTTCCACCTCTTGTTTGAAACGAGGGGCGAGCAGCGTGATCACTGCGCGGATAATTACACTTTATTTGTAATGTTTTTCAGCTTCACGCGCTCCCCGGAACACATTAAACAAAGGTTAAAAAAACAAACAACGCACCTCATGTTAGAAAAAATACGTTCGAGCTAATTCTGCTAGTTTCTTTTTCATGAAGACAGCGTGGATCCTTCACGCTGAAGCGTCGGAGAACTTTACACGTTTTGAACAAACAGGGTTGTCAAAAAAAAAAATCGTAATTTTATTTCCTCGCGCACATTTTAAAGCGGCTCCGTTTCACGTCTCTTTTCTTTTATCGCCGTCTTCTGAATTTTGCACGTTACAGTTTCCAGTCCGTCCTGTTCGTCTGTTTAATTGGCCCATCGCTCTCATGCTGTTTTCTGCCGCACGCATGCAAAGCTCATTCCTCCCGTGGCTGTAATATTAATGCCAGGTTTGGGTTATTTAAAAAAGAAAGAAAGAAAAAGGGTTTCAGGGTTTCCCTCACGGCGCGTTAAAGCGGAACACAGTGAGTGACGGCGTCTCGGAGATAATTCCACAGAAGGTTAATTTCCAACACCTCTTAGCTTATTATTGATTTATTTTTAAACAAACTTATGCGACACATTTAACGTCTTAATTACTCAAATTAATTTCCAATGACAGGATCACTTTGCCACTAAACTTCTCAGCGTCAAATAATATTTTCTGGCCTCAGATCAGTTTTGTTGATGGACTTAAATGAAGACCAACAGTAAATCTTCACAGTCGATCTCCTTTTCCATCAAAGCAGTGGTTTTATTTCTTTTTATTTTTTACATCTGTATGTTTGGTACTTTACTCACCTCTGTGCTCCGGCTGCAGGTTATTTGGGGAGACTTCTCTTGTGTGAAGGCTGCCAGATCAGATCAACTTACACTACAGTGTATCAGTGTTCACCTCAGTGTGTGTAACATTTAGCTCTCAGCCTGAGTGCATGCAGGGGTTTGAGGCCACACAGGCATCTGTTTGCTGCGAGGCCATCGTGGTGTCGGCCCAAACAGAGACCAACACCTGAAGTCACTGAGTTAGATTAAAAATGTGCCCTCACATTAGCAGCAGACAGAGGTAGCACTGGTGCAGGCCCAGTTTCTAATGGGGCTCATTGTGATATCAGCCTTTGCTGCTCGGAGCAGACGGATAGACAAGAAATATGAAGGTGGAGGTTAATAAATGAGCAACGAAACATGCTTCTGCACATCCTGTAATTTATGATTTACACACACACATGCATTTATTTATGTGAGCGTAGACGTCAACAGACACACACACATATGAACACACGTGAGTGAATCCTCCACTCGTGCCAAAATTTTCAAAGAATTCTTCCGGAGCTGTCAGGTGATAAAATCCCTCTGACCTGGCTCTCCGTGCCGTGGATTTATAATTTGGATTTTGCAACACGACACACACCACAACACAATAGCTGTGCACTTTAGAAGAAGAGTTGCTTCTTAGTATATATGCAGGAAGAGCCAGGAACACCGAGGTCGATTTTGTGCACTTTGGCGTCACAAAGTGCATTCCGACGCTCCCAGTTTCCTGCAAATCTTCCTGATTCTGATCGCAGATCATTCACACAGTTTTAAAAATTCTTTCCTTTTTCCAGTTGATTAAATCAACAAGCGATCACAGTTTGGAGCTGATCAGCTGATCATTGCCCTCACTGAACACGGAAGAACCACTTGCATGTTTATCGTCTACACCTACACTAAATATGCACCAAACCCAGCGCTTCCCTATAACAGTAAAATCAAACAAGAAGCCACCCAGAGCGGAATTTGGTGCAACTATTCCCTCAGGGGCAGGAGCTTCATCAGTAGGACTTTATATTGTTGTGTTTGTCTCACAGATTTGGGGGCATTTTTTCTTCTCGTAGCAGCAGCAGACAGTTTACACCTGAAGGTGCCTCCTGCTTCTCATTCACTCCAAATAAGCCTGGCTTTGCTCTGAGAGGCTGATTTAAGCATGAAAAGACACAAACAGGACGAGAGCTGCCATTGTAGTCTCTCTCTCTCACACACACACACACACACACACACACACACACACACACACACACACACACACACACACACACACAGAGGGCTGTGTGTAAATTGCACTTGCCCACTTGAGATGCATGTTTCCTTTCGGCTTGTCAAATAGCCACGCACCCTGCTGGGGCTATGTCTTTGTTAGAGAGAGGGGAAGAAAGAAGTCAACATCTCCTTCTTTTAAGCGTTCTCTGGGTGAGGTGTGGTTCAAATAGCACAAATGAAAATGCACTGCTTCACTGTGGCTCATTCAGGGTCACGTTTGTGAACGATACGTAATGAAAATCCAAATAGTTTAATGCTCATTATTTTCAGAAACGTCTCTCGACTTAAAGGGTAAACAACAACAACAAACAAAAAAAACATATCATCATGTTATTTCCACGGCGACTGTAAACTGACATAAATAATGTCCGTGGTGATGTGGTGTGTTTTTTCTAAAGAGACGTAATTTACGCAGCTGCCGGGTTTTAAACCATCAACCACATTTTTTAGTGGTTAAAAATAAAATTTGTGTTTCCTTAAATTTCCCACAATTTTCCTTCCCTGTAAATTATGATTTAAGAGCTTTTTATTGTTGCTGGAAATTAGAAAACATTTAAACATTTATGTGAACAAATATAAATGTAACCTTAAAGGTGGAGTGTGTGAGCGGATGAATGCAGCAAGTTTGCCCCAAAGCATGCCTGAACTCATTTAACGTGCACGCAGTTTCACACCACTACATAACACACACACACAC